AATTTGGACACAAGAAAAATCCTAAATGGAGTCTGAACGAGAGAGTTATGCTGGTTTGAAGTTTGCGAATCTGTGTTGTGTGCATTTTTCGCTTGAGCACAACTTTCACCGCTCGAGTGGTCCATAGACCCTTCCAACTATGTTTTTCAAAATTATCTGAGATACTGGAAGCCTTGATTCACCGCTCAAGCATACTTTTGACCACTCGAGCAGTCTGTCCAGAATCATATCTTTAAAAGTCACTTTTTATGTCAAATATCTTCAGTTTTCACTCTCTCTCTATTTTTCCGCCATTTTTGAGTTTTAAAGATTTTTAACCTTGATTTTATCTATTTCTAAACATCTTTGACCTTTAGTTCCATATACCAAAACGTAGAGTTCGGCGAGGGCTTCCATTTAATCTACGTGGATCATCATTTCGTCGCCAGTGATTTTTGGATTGTCTCCTCTTCGCTTCAAAAGGTAGGGATTCTTTTACTCATTTTCGATATCTCTTTATAGATAGATAGATAGATAGATATGTGGTAGTTTTTATTGTATTTAAAAATATGTTTGTTAAAGAGATTTTCCAAAAACATGAAAGGGGATTTGGGGTTTGAGCTTTAGAAGTTGAAATTGTATGATTGACGGTTAATTTGGTATGTTGGGAGGTAGTTAATCATGTCTATGTTGATTGTTGCGATAAGCCCTAATTTATTATTAAAATTAATAAACAAAAAGGAGTAAAGTTAGGTAATAATTGAGTTATGAGTTATGAGATTGAATTAATGCTTGGTTACTAAAAATGGAATTTTTGTTAAACAAAAAAAGGTTTAGCTATGGTTTTGGAATGTTGAGGGTTTGGAATAACCGATTTAGTTTTTGAAAATAAAACGATGAGTCTAACTCTTTTATGAAATGAAATGAGAATATGTTTGATTGTAATATTGATGTTTTGAAATTGCAAATCTAATTCATGAGAGTCATTTATTTATTTGTTTAGAGGTTTTGTTCTTGGTCATTGGTAGATGGTGACATTGTTGTTGTTGAATAAATTATGTGTATGTTTTACACTTGTACAGTATTTATATAGTTTAGCATGTTGTGTTATTGCTTGGACGTTGTTTGGGAGGTCCGTTTATCTCTGGTTAAGCTGGTAAAGCATGATGTCTTGCTGGAAATTGCTCTCCCTTCCAATTTGCACCCAATAAAGTGTGAAATTAAGGTCCATTTCTCTCCAGGAGGCCGGTAAAGCGTGATGCCATTGAGCATGTTCCTCTTCCTTTTGGTTTACGCTCGGTAAAGTGTAACTTTGGGATTGTTCCCCTTCGGGTGAGGCCGGTAAAGCTTTATGTGTAATGTGAGTTGTATCATTTGCCATCCGTGTTGTAGGATAGTGGAAAATTGATGTATGTATTACGTTTAGTTATTTATATTTCGAAATATATGTTTCTTGGTATTTTTGTTATGAGTGTTCCATACCCGTGGGCCTATGGTCAAGGAAGATAGTAGAAGTGGTTGCATAAGTGTGTGTAGTGAGTTGAGTTATAGGCCTCGTTTGGGAAGTGGCTATTTTAGTAGGCTATTTGGCTTTTTGGCTATTTTAGTAGGCTATTTTAGTTTTTGTGTTTGGGAAGATGAGATGGATTTTATTTGAGTTGTTGTATTGAAAAATGTGTTGAAATGATGTTTGAAGTTAAAATGACAAATTTGTCCCTAAAAATATATTTTTTTAAATTGATGTAAAATGGTAAAATCATAATTTACTCATTGATGGAACAACTTGTGTAGCTACACTGCCGGTAGTGCAGTCTATTTATTTATTTTATTTTTTTATTTTTTGAAAAAGCTTTGAACAGTGGGCTTTTTGGCTAAATTTTCATTTGAGGCTATAATAGCCTCAATCTACTCTTCCCAAACAGCGCCATAGGATTGGGTTATAACTTGTATCTATGAACGTGCTTTCAAAACAAACGTGGAAACATAATTTTTATTAACGTGGAGATTTAAATAACCAAGTTGTATTGTAAAGAAATGTTTTTTGAACTAAACTGAATAATTGGAAAGAAAACAACATGATTTTAACACCTAGTAGTGTCGAATGGATGTTTTTGGAGAAAATGTACTTATATAAGTATATTTAAAATATTAAATTGCACATTATTTATATTGTACGTCAGGGCGTATTTATGATCATAGATATTTGTTATGTTGTTATTGTTTAGGATCATGTTAGGATCTCTACTTGACTTTATGTTCATCCCACGTTACTAATTATTTTTCAGGTACAAGTTAAGAAATGATTCAAGCTCAGTGATCTTCCTTAATTGTTGTCCATGGAGCCTATACTTGTTGGCCGAACGTCATTGTTGTAAAATGGTTAAACCTTTACTTTTAAGAAAATGTCTCGTAGCTCAAATTTTATGGCTCAAAAATGGCTCAAATAGCCAAAACGACGTCGTTTGGCAATTTTTATGTTGTTCTGTACTCAAAACGACGTCGTTTTGGTCATTTGAGCCACTTTTGAGCCACAAAATTTGAGCTACGTAGCATTTTCGTTACTTTTAATGTAAACATGTAAGCCTACGGACATTTTTTTAAAATATAATTCCTGTTGCATTTCATATATATACGATTGAAAGGACTTCATTTATTTATGGAGGTAATATATGTATAATTTGCTTGTTCTTAATGGAAATGGATTTATGTTAATGGACATGATAATGTTATTCGGGTAATCAAAAATGGGCGTGACAAAAATGGAGCTCGTAAGAGAGAGATGTGGGTGAGAGAGAAAGACCAGAGAGTAGGCCTCGTTGGGATGTGACTTATTGGCTAAAATTACCAATAAAGATCAAAAAAATGTTAAAATAGCCAATAAAACAAAATGTTACATCCAAATCATAATCAATTAATTTTTTCTCTCATAACAATCAAATAAACTACAAAAAATAAAAAATAAAAATCATTCAAAACATAATATTTTTAGTTAGGTTAAAATAGCCAAATAGCTAAAAAGTCCGACTAAATTTTTTTATCCCAAATGAGAGCTGTGAGAGAGAAATAGAAAAAATGAAAGATTTTGAGAGAGAGATGTGTAGGATGAAAGAGAATAAGATGAATGGCTCGAGGAAAGAAGATGAATCTGTTAAAAACATAAAAAAAAAAAAGAATAAAGAAAGTTGAATAGTGAGTGGGATGGGGTGGATGGGATGAGATGAGACTGTAAAAGGCTGATCATCTTAGTGTTAGAAAGGAAAAATTATTGGTGTTTTGTAGCACCACGTGGCCATGCTCAGGCCAATTACAAAACCGTATAACCCTTTCATATTTTTCAATCATCTAACACAAAATATATGGAGTCCACTCCCTCCATCAATAACAATTCATGTGGAGTGCCACGTGATGTTACCCTGGACCAACCATGTCACGACCCCATTCCGCCCCTAGTAAAATGGTGTCGTGATGGCCAGTAATTCGAGATTACCGAAGGCCAACTTCAAAATTTACGCACAATCAGAGTATTACATATGGGGCTAACATGTACGGAAGCAATATATATATAATTTAATTAGTCCATAAGAGCTGTGCATAAGTCAAATGAAATGGCATACATTTTTACAAGGTCTTACAACTTGGATACAATAAGGAAATGAAATACAAAATACATCTTGACCAAAAGGCTTCTCAAGCCGACATATATAAAACACAATGAAATATAAGCTAAGAAGCATAATTTTCAAGAGTTTGCAAAAATGTGAATCCAAACACGTCGGAACACTCTAAACCTCATTGCCTTCTTGCTCCTCATTGCCTTCTTGCTCACACCTACATATATATAGAGAGGGTGAGCTTGGATACTCAGTGAATGGTACAAGTAATAAAGGGTTTGCATGTATGACATCCGAGATCTTAACAAACAATACATAATCATAGGTTATATAAAAGCGTAGGATAAATAAGTTCATCTAACAAATCTATCAAGCTTCATCAATCAAAGTCTTTAAGGCTTCCAAGTTTCAAAGGATAACGTTAACAAAGGTTATGCTACAAATGCTTATAGTCCCCTAGCACGTAACGGACTTTCAAGATTGTGCTACATTGCTTATAGTCATTCATGCTTAGCAAATACTTTCAAAACAAGGCAAAGCTTTATCAAAACGTTATAACATAACTTTATTAAAAATACACTCACATAGTACTTTCAACGCCGGGTCAAGCGAGAGTCCGAGTCCTATAAACACATTGCAAAGTCTATTGAATGCACCTTTCAAACAAGTTTACATGGATGCAAATGAGTCTCAGCATTTTTCAAAACCAAGTCGAACCAAGACAAAACATTGTTTCTCCTCTCGAGAAAACATGCTGGGTACCAACCAGCTATTGCCGAGTCCTAACACCTTCTTGCCGAGGTGTGGTCCTGGTGGCCACACCCACAGGAAATAAAGTCGGGAAAACCAGAGTTTCCCTCTGCTGTTAGATATCTCT